AAACATATAGATATAATATGCTTTGATGAGATGGGCTAATGATCAGGTTTGCGAAAGGTAACTGATTTTCTTTCCATTATGATGACACATATCTACAACTAATATTCCTATAATTATCAATACACCTTCACGTCGTAATGTCACTATAGAGCTATATTTTTTCAATAAGAAACAAATGCAGTTACATAGCAGTAAAAATACAAGTAAATGATTGAAACTCTGTACGGAAAATAAATTTCAATAACCAATATCTCAGTCAAAGTAGTTTCACCGGGATATGTATATCTTCACCTTTAGTTATATATTCTTTCATCGTTATATTTTAAAAATTCCTGTAATTACTGTGTATCTTACTTTTTCTTTTGCTCGATTTGTTGGGTATTGCTGAGGAGATTCCGGTAATGATCTGATTTAAGAAAGCGACGATAGGTGTCCTTTTTCATCAGTAAGAAAACGTGTTCTTGAGCGGCGTCGAATGTGTATCGAGATGGGCTTTTCATAAGCTTGTAAGTAATATCTAATGTCATACTGTCCAAGTTAACTTCACAAGGAGCCCCAGGTGCCAAGTATTTTCTGAAGATAATAATTATTTACAGGTGAATATCATAAAAACACAATTTACTTACTTAACGTAACATTATAATGAGATAAACATATATTATATTATGGAATATTACTATGCCTCTTATTCATTACTCTTATCGAACTCATAAGAACGAGCAAACAGTGAACTGTTTAATTAATAGGTTTAATATTTCTTATAAAATGTATTCCAAAGCTTCAGAATTCCACATGCCCGATATTAATATTTATATTCATTTGCTCGAAGTTATCGTAGTCTCAAGACTCATGTTGTATTGTTTGCCGAAGTTCTGACTCATAAACAATCGGTATTCCAACCACTTCGTGTTTTCAAACACATAAATTGATGATAAAAATTCCAGAAGAAGGTAATCTTCGTCGTAATATTAAAGCCTTGACTATATGAAAAATAGGGCAAACCAAACAACACTGAACATAAGCTATGTAATTGGGAGATTTAGACTAATCTAACAAATATTATAACTTTGAGAACTAAACAAATAAACAATAATAAGCACTAACGACTTTAAAAATTGAGGATAACTAAGCAATAGTGAAGTTTTGAGTCTATGGAAATTGGGACAGACAGAATTTTGAAGACCGAAATCAGTCTTGATAGAATAAAAGTAATATAAAATTTTTAGCTTGAACAAATGATATCTGAAACTGGAACATATGATATCTGAAACTAGAACAAATGATATCTGAAACTAGAACATATGATATCTGAAACTAGAACATATGATATCTGAAACTAGAACAAATTATATCCGAAACTAGAACATATGATATCTGAAACTAGATCAAATGATATCTGAAACTAGAACATATGATATCTGAAACTAGAACATATGATATCTGAAACTAGAACATATGATATCTGAAACTAGAACAAATGATATCTGAAACTAGAACATATGATATCTGAAACTAGAACATATGATACATTACTCGTAAATTTTGTTGATTCTATTTGCAACAGCAGCTTGAGAACCACTCTTCAAACATTGGACTACCTTCCAAAAACACATGTTTTCATGGCTGTATTCTTTTCTTAGGTACTTTTCGAATTCCAGTTCACCCATGGGATCTGTCAACAGTTCTTCCAAGGAAATTCCCCAACGTCTGAGTCGCTTTTCAGTCAGCGTTTCAACACTACAAGAATCGGAACATTATGTTGCGTGATATTTAAGGCAAATCTCAATTTTTATAGTTACTTGTATTTCTATTCTCTACATCTACTAGATAAACGACAAAGAAAGTTAAAGTTTTTATACACCAATGCTGGCGTTATTATAGTATTTGTTTGTTAATCACTTTCTTATAAAAGACTGACAGATTTTCTTGATTTACTTTTAAACATTTGATATATATATATCTAAAGCTAATGACTTTATACATTCCAAAACGGAAATCCATAACGAAAAGGTTATCGGTTTGTGTGTTTGCTGTTAAGCACAAAGGTGCACAATGATCTGTTTGTCCTCTTCCCACCGCGGGTATCGAAATCCAATCTTGAGCGTTATAGGCTCTGGATCGCTGAAAGAAAGTATTAAAAAAGCAACTAAACCACATACCTCAAAACTAGAAGGCAGTCTTGGTGAGTTACCATGATTTTCACTAGTTAGCGCTCCGCATTCGCTTATTTTGTTGACGCATCTTCAATTATTTCTTTTAATTTACCAAATATACACTACTGTTAAGTTATTCTTACAAACTGGGGTACACGGCTTACTCAAAATCTGATTAACAGTACGCGTCATAAAAGGGTTGAGAACCACTGATCTTTGGTGTTGATGTCTTTCTTGTATATCTTGAATTACTCTCATTAGTATTAAAGCTTGAAGTCGAATACGTCTGAAGATTTTCAGAATTTGTTAAACAAATGAAAGCAGGGTTCTCGAGTGATAAAGATTATCCTTTATTACCTCCAAATGTTGTGCTTAAAGTGATGAAAATTAATGACTTCATTTCCAAAATACGTTTGACAGAAGCTATGTGAATTGCTGGTATAGTACAAGTAGGTTAACTTCGTTGTATAAAATCATTTGTGAAAATAAAAAGTTTAATGGCCAACTGCTCTTAAAAGAACAAATTTTCTTTTAGTGTACTTAAATGTTTTTGAAATCTAACTACCAGCTTTTTGGCAATGAAATAAAGAAATAAATGCTTGTTATTACTTTAATTGTTCAAACAGATTAACGAGGTCGCATGCCTCACTCATATCCCGTTCCCACTTTTAATACTCTGCTCTTTCTGATTTTAGCTCTATGCCTGAATGTTTGTTTGTTATTAAGCGCAAAGGTACAGAATGAGCTTTCTGTACCCTGTCCTCCGCGGACATAATCGAAACCCGATTTTTTAGAGTTATAAGCCCTCAGACTTGCCACTGAATCACCGGAGATCAATACATGAACAGTATAGTTACTTTTATCAGCATTGAACTTAATTATGACTCAGTTGTTTTAACTTTTTCTCCCAGTTAGGTACAGTTGAGAATATGCTATATTTTTTTCCAATGTCTTAAGTTTGAGTCCGAAGTATCTACTAAAATATTCACATTCGAAGTATATTGACTGAAAAGTATACCACTAGTGACGTGATGCCAAAACAATGTTGTTGTTTTTTTCATGTAATCAGAATCATAACAAACATGATAAAAGGAACCACAACGTGTATGGCCTAGAAATAAATAGACTCGTGGAAAATAATAGTTCCCGAGAATAATTAAATTAAAGATGAAGCTTACTTTTATTGTAAAGTAACTGACATTTAAATTTTTCTAAGGTCTTGCCACATGAATAAACAAGAATAGAAATAATTAAATTTCCGTTCAGTGTACAATCATATCTTGTTAGTCAATAACGCCTATAAATTGAAAGTATTCTTATGAATGACTCAGGGAAAATAATTAAATGCTGTTCCCTTTACTCTCCAAACAAATACGGTTAAGGACAAAGACTAAGCAGGGGCGTAGCCAGCACTACCGAGAGAAAGAGAGAGAGAGGGGGGGGGTCTTTAAAAAATATGGATTTCTTTTCTTCTAAGCAAAGAATTTAAGTGATTTCCATGAAATTCAAGTGTTTATTTAATATTTAAAAGATAGTGGACCTTTAATATTTCTTAGAATATTGGCGTGGTCTTTCAACCCGAGAGCCCCTTAGCCACGACCCTACTAAGAATTATTTTATTAAACGTGTTTTACTGCTGGTTATAGTTACGCTAATTTCCAGAGAGTGTTAAAGAGTATAAAGATAAGAAAATCATTTATGGAACTATTAAGTTGAAGTATCCAAACAAGTACGTTTTATCAAACGTGTTCTTACAAGTCACTATTTAGATCCCAAAATGTGATGTCATCAGATATCCAAGGATTTGTTGGCTGTACATCCGTGATAAATGGATCAAATTCGGCATATAACTCACATCGATGGATCAAACTGAAAACAATGAACACACAGTATTATGCTTATTCTAAAACTCTTGGATATTTTTTGAATAGTCTTAACTAATAAGTTACTACAATTAACGAAATATTCACTAATGGTTTCCTAATATATAAAAAGAAGCTCAAGAAAAGCGGATCTATCATTTAGGTTTTAAGGAAGTAATTAATTGCCTAGAAATATACAATAACACTCTGTAGAGTAAAAATCAAACCAAAAAAATATTTCTAAATAAATCTGTACACTAATAAAAAAATCATATTTAGTTCTAAGTCTGAATCAAACTTCAGTGACACGCTTTTCCTTTCAGTAAATGACGTGGAGAATTTAGCAAAGCCTGGTCATTCAACGTTGTGTTGTTCAAAATATACTATTTTGGAGTAATGATTCACCCAACGATTAGGATTTCAAGCTGTGGATCGAAGGGTCTGGAGTTAGAATCTCGAAGCTGCTGAACTATATCCGCACTGTCAGCTGTTTGTGTGTAATAAAAGTGACAGTTAATATTGTTATTAGGTTTAACGAGACCTTTTGGTGGTGGATGCTTCTGGCTTACAGTTGTCCCTAATTATGAAATGTTAGACAAGATAGAAGGTATATAGTCAACACCACTCCCCACCAACTCTTGAAGTACTCTTTAGGAACGAATAATGGGGTTGAATTTCACATTATAACGGACCCACGCGTGAAAGGTCCAGCATGTTCGATGAGGGGTTCGATCCCGCTACAGAATGCGAGATGAGCTTCTTAACCACTAGGTCATTCCAGGTTTCAGAGTCTACTCACGTGCTGATAGTTTACATTGTGATTGAGTGTCATCCAACCAATCAGAAAGTGCCACACCAGCAGCAGGTCTATAAAAATACATGATACTATGCCCAGTAGTTGTAGTAGTAGTAGTAGGAGGAGGAGATATCACTCATGTCTCCCAGGACTGAAATTTCACATGATAAGCGTGTAGAATTCAAAGTTTTTACTGGTCAAGGTTATTCCATGAAAATGTAGCAATAAGGCTATGTGCAAGGCCTTGAAAAGGGTACGTAAAATTGGCAATGTTAATGTTAGACGTGATCGAGTGATTCTAAAAGTGATTTTAAGTGTCCCAGGGTATGATATTTAGAATGATTGACGGTCGATTTCAGATTTTGCCAACAATCTTGCTGTATATATAGGTGTGAATGTTACCTAGAGTAAAATAAGCTACATATTACCATGAAGTCATCTCAATGAATATGTAGCTACTTGAAAATTGCTGCTGAGAAAAGGTAATCGAATTAAAATGTTCAAGTGAACATTGAACCATAAATAGTAGAATGAGCCTAGCTGGAGAGGTGTACTTTTATAGGTGAATCGATGTTCGAAATGATAGACAGTAATTAACGACGGTGGAGAGAGAAAACACTATCATAGTCAGTGTTCAACGTATACAATGAAGCGTGTAATTTTAGGGGTGCATCTCAAGCAACAGTGTCGATAATCTATACAGAATTGATAACACCCCTACCCTGTCTTCCGAAACATGCATTCAAATTCTGATCCGTCACACCATTACCTCAGAAAAACGACTGGTCGGATGGATGCTCATCTTCCATCAAGATAATGATACATGCATACAGCAGATGTGGTATAATGATATCTTGGCGATGAATAGGAGCTAGCGTAACACCCACAACCATGATCTGGACTTACTAAAAGTCCCGATATGAACATTCTTAAGGTTGCACGAGCTTATGGAAAAACCGAGGAGATCGAAAGGCCAAACAACTTTGATAAATTATGTGGCAGAATAAAAGATGTAATGTTTTGTGTAAAGCAAGTGGTAAACATGCAAAATACGAAATGAATTTCACACCTTATTCGTTTTCATTCTCGGGGACAATGTTTCATATCATTTTAATGAATTTACTATTACTTGTTCTTTATCACTCTTGTATGTGTATCGCTTGTGTTTCCATAATTACTTACATTACTGTAAATAGATAAACTGTTACGTATAGTTATTCATGCTCGTTTTGAAACAACCAGTTTGTTTGTTTTGAATTTCGCGCAAAGCTACACGAGGGCTATTTGCGCTAGCCGTCCCTAATTTAGCAGTGTAGGACTAGTGTAGTCATCACTACTCTTTACCAACGAATAGTGGGATTGACCGTCACATTATGACGCCCCCCACGGCTGAAAGGGTGGGCATGTTTTGAGTGACGGGGATTCGAACCCGCGACCCTCAGATTGCGAGTCGAGCGCCCTAACTACCTTGCGATGCCGGACCGTGAAACAACCAGAACAATACGCTTAGTTATATTATTGTACAAAATAGTGTTCTTCCTTGCTGATGATAGAAAAATATTTCCGTCTGAAAAATTGCTAGATTATTAAAAGATATGGACGAAGTTGAATGCTTTTTAATTTTTATAGCCAATTGGTTAATTCGGCCATATGAACAAAATGATAAGAAAGAAAATTGACCGGCAATTTACAATTATGCGAGTTTCTCTTTCCAAGTTTGTGAATTTTACAAAAATAATGTTCGATATTCACGTACGCGGATGCAGATTAATGTTCCAGTTTATGCATAATCAAAATATTGTTGATAAATGCGTTTTTTGGTAACTTATTATTTAAATGAAAGGCCAAAATAATTTTTTTATGTTGAACTGGAAATATACAAGACATTAGTGTAACCTCTAATGATTTAAGGCTTTAAAAAAAAACTGTATTTAACTGTAAATTGTTTACTTAACGCTCAAGGCTAAGTAAGTTTCGTAGATTCATTATTTACTTAATAAAACATAAGGTATGTATAGTATAAAACAACTTCAGCAACAAACGCAAAATAATACAAAATAAAACTAACCTCTCAACAACCTGATGGAGCTTCGTTCTGGGTCTACAAATGTATTTTTGGAGAAACGAAACCTGAAATATGAAGGAAAATGAAATAATCAAATATATATACATACAAGTATTTCACTTATTAAAATAACATATTTACAAAATTTTATAATATTTCAAATAATATGTTCAATATTTCATTGTTGACACAACATGATAACCTAACTGAACCAGTGCCAGAAATGCCCTATGCGATACAAAGTGGTAAATGCAACCAGTGCCAGAAATGTTCTATGCCATAAAACATGTAATCATTTGCTTTCAATGCTTAAATTGTGTTAGAATTTGAGCACATTCTGGCATTCTTGGCATAATGACAAGAAATAGATGGTCATAGTCAACAAGAAATAAAACGGATTAATTATACACACTTATATAGTTATGTGGTTATACAGATAAAAAGTACTGTACTCCGAAAAGCATACCATGTTTCATTCAAGTGTTATATATATTTTCCAGGGATATTTGAACATTTTCAAATATTCATCTAAGAATTTATATTACTTGTAAGATTTACCTGTTTCTTTAGATCTTGTTTGGCTTTGGCTTTTTCTGTATGTTTATTTGCTAATGGGCCTTTCTCAAAACAACTCAAGATTCCTGGCTGAAAAATAGAATTAGTTTGTGGAACATTTGTGGAATATATTTAATTTTCGATTTTATAATCTCTTTGTACTAGTAAAGAAAATAAAATGAACATTTAATACGAAAGAAACTATGATGAAATAAACAAAAAATCGTTTACAAAAATATTTATGCTAGCACAGACATACAAAATCATTCATATTGTGAAGTCTTTGTCTGGCGTGTAAGATTTAGCTTTTCATTTATTTGATAACATTTTTAATATCTCATGATCTGCATCATGGACATTTGTTGACACAACCATAAATAAGGACAATGACTCGTTTAATATTTTTCTTCTCAATATGGATCGTTCACAATTTTAACATTTCAGGTCACTCAGGACGCCCTCCCTCACTGACACACGCACGAACACAAAAAAGTGAGTATTAACATATTACACATATTCCAATTAACTGTTGTGTTAAGAAATATTTTTTCTTGTAAACTTAACTTCAATTAGTAATAATCGTTATTATTATGTATTTTTATTAGCCTAGTTAGGCTGAGAGTCCAACAGTGCCTGAAACTGTAGTTTACAGTTTCGCCTGAGAAGTCCGATATTACCTGAAACTGCAGTTCACAGCTATGACTGAGTAATGGGTATTTAATAAACGTTTAAGAAGGGTGACAGTTTATACAAATCACGCATACATAAATAATTCTTCATCTGTCCACGTTGTCCAATCAGATGTAAAAATAGTACAAAATCTAAGCTCTTATCAAATGACTAACCAGCAATGTGTGTAGTGTCTCAAAGTGTGCAGATTCAACTAACTAGTAATGTGTGCAGTTTCTCAAAGTGTGCAGATTCGACTAACTAGTAATGTGTGTAGTTTCTCAAAGTGTACAGATTCGACTAACTAGTAATGTGTGTAGTTTCTCTAAAGTGTGCAGATTCGACTAACTAGTAATGTGTGTAGTTTCTCAAAGTGTGCAGATTCGACTAACTAGTAATGTGTGTAGTTTCTCACAGTGTGCAGATTCGACTAACTATTAATGTGTGTAGTTTCTCACAGTGTGCAGATTCGACTAACAAGTAATGTGTGTAGTTTCTCAAAGTGTGCAGATTCAGTTTTGTTTAATAATTATTGCATGGTTCTTACATCTTCAAAACGGCCCCATAGTGGCACAGCGGTATGTCTGCGGACTTACTACGCAGAAACCGGGTTTCGATACCCGTGGTGAGCAGAGCACAGATAGCCCATTGTGTAGCTTTGTGCTTAATTCCAAACAATTTTGAAACACAGACTTGACACAAATAGTGGTTTGGAGGAGAATCTATAATATTCTAGTGCCTCTTTTTTTTCTTCTAAATCTTAGACAAAAATTTACTTTAAGAAACACATTTCTTTCCTCGGATTTCCTAATTCATTAAATTTGTTGTTGGTTCATATTAGTAATGGAAAGTCGCAAATTATTTATACAATGAAACGCCTTAAACGTTCAGAAGTAAATAAGTTAACCTTTTCACATCTAAGGGTAGATTGGATTTTAATTTAAATTTAATTGCATGTTATTGGTGTTTCAAATAATTTCTAAGCCTTAAATTTTCCGTTTACCTAAAGTACATAACTTTCTCTGATCAGAAGTTATTATTATCACATTGAGTAATTTTGGGAAATGATCTGTTTTCTATTTAACATACATAGAAAATGAGGGATTTCACGTATTTGGATTAAATATTATATTGATGGTAGTTTTGTTTACATTCCTGTGTGGCTTATGGGTTACTATGAGCTCTGGAACCAAAAAACCTAATGGATACACAAGTAACTTACTGCATAAATAGTTTTAAAAAAAATGTATTCATAAAGGCATAACTCTACGCTTGCAAGTTTGGAGTCCGTGAGCAGGTAACTAACTCATAAACACAAGATACCAATGGAATTCTTACCGGTGGTCTGTGGACACGCCAGTAGGCTTTCTCTTGACTATCTAGTATACTTTTTTCAGATTTTTTTCTTTCTTTCATGAGACTAAAGAAGAACGATTTACATGAATCAAGATAACATATAATTGCTATAACTTTGTGTAACACCAATTCATAAGCCACTTATTTATTGTAATACAGTATCTTTGCAATAACCAGGTTTATTCATATATCTTCTAACTTGTGTATATTACTATTAAGTTACACCACAGTTCATTTTTCTAATGTATTATAATAATAAAAAATGGGTACATTTTACCACCTGTAAGTATGATAAGAGAGGAAAAACGTGATTTTATAAAGTTAGATAACTTTTATAAATATGTGAGGTCAAACTCTTTTATTTCATTATTATATTTGTTAATTAACAAACTTGAGACTTCAGATATTTATATTATACTCACTGTTACCACAGGTATATTATATTGTGATGAAACATTAAAACCGATTACTATGACTTTCTTATTGGTGTTACTCAGTCATGTTCTCAATAAACGAAGTAAAGTTCATCATTAGAAATACCAAGTGATATAACTACAGGTTACTGTTCTACTGTACATCATTAGCATCTTTAGTGGTTTGTAATACTTCAAAATTCAACTATACACCGCAGTTAACATGCCAAAGTTTCTCTTTGTAGTTCTTAAGAATTCCCAGTTTCTTTTTTGTAGTCCTTAAGAATGTCCAGTTTCTCTTTGTAGTTCTTAATAATTCACATTTTCTATTTTGTAGTGCTTAACATTTCATAGCTTCCTTTCATAGTATACTTATCGTTTAATAATTTCTGTTTTGTAGTGCTTAACATTTTATAGTTTCTTTTCATAGTATACTTAACATTTCATAGTTTCTTTTCATAGTATACGTAACGTTTCATAATTTTTTTTTGGAGCACTTAACATTCCATAGCTTCTTTTCATAGTATACTTAACATTCCTTAGTTTCTTTTCATAATATACTTAACATTTCATAGTTTCTTTTCATAGTATGCTTAACTTTTTATAATTTCTTTTTGTAGTTCTTAACATTTCATAGTTTCTTTTCACAATACACTTAGCATTTCATAGTTTCTTTTCATAGTATACTTAACATTCCATAGTTTCTTTTCATAGTGTACTTAATATTTCATAGTATACTTAACATTTCATAGTGTACTTAACGTTTCATAATTTCTTTTTGTAGTTCTTAACATTCCATAGTTTCTTTTCACAATACACTTAGCATTTCATAGTTTCTTTTCATAGTATACTTAACATTCCATAGTTTCTTTTCATAGTGT